TACTACTTTTCCATTTTTAATGTTTTTTTATTTACTTGTTTAATACAAATTTGACATGTTTATGTATTAAAATTAGTAATAAATATTTTGGAGTCTATTTTGTGAAAAAACTACGAAATTATTGAATTTAATTACACTGTCTCTCTCAGAGGTTCCCTGTCATGGACTGGTGATATATTAGTGGGTCAATATTAGAGTGGAACCCACGTCTACCAGGAGACTATTAGACCACACCCAGGAGGTCTGTGGGATTCACTGGTCACCAAATCATCAGTAACTGGTGTCAGGAGGAAATGATAATATAGTGAGTTTATGATTTTATTTTTATTTTATATTGGCTTCAGAATCAATCCCCATTTTTATTACATTTTCTGATGCATATGGACGTCCTTATGCTATTTAAAAAATTTGAATTGTTTCTGACAGCTAATTTCCGAGTTATGAGCATTTTTTAAAATAGGCCAATTTTTGAAAAATACCCAAGGCTATAGCCCATGCTTTTTTGTAAAAAATGGCTCCGAAATCACCCCTAATTTTTATTACAATTTTTGATGCCTATTGATGTCTTTATGCTGTGTTAAAAATTTAAGCTGATTCCGGCAAATATTTTTCTAGTTATGAAAACAGCCATTTTCTAAAAAATACCTTGTACTATAGCCCATGGTTTTTTCAAAAAAATTGCCCCAAAATTACCCCCAGTTTTTATTACAATTTTTGATGCCTGTTGATGTCTTTATACTATGTAGAAAATTTGATCTGATTCCAACAAATATTTTTTGAGTTATGAGCATTTTTTTAAATCAGCCATTTTCTGAAAAGTACCCTGTACAGCCCATGGTTTTTGGTCAAAAAAATCACCCTGAAATTACCCACAATTTTTATTACAATTTTTGATGCCTATTGATGTCTTTATGCTATGTAGAAAATTTGAGCTGATTCTGACAAATATTTTTCAAGTTATGAGCATTTTTTAAATCAGCCATTTTCGGAAAAATAGCCCATGGTTTTGTTAAAAAAATGGCTCCAAAATCACCCCCATTTTTTATTACATTTTCTGATACATATCGATGTCTTTATGCTATATAGAAAGTTTGAGCTGATTCCGACAAGTATTTTTCGAGTTATGAGCATTATTTTTTTAAAAACAGCCATTTTCCGAAAAATACCTTTTACTATAACCCATGGAATGGCCTCAAAATCATTCTCAGTTTTTATTACTTTTTCTGATACATATTGATGTTCTTATGCTGCATATGTACATGTACAAAGATTGAGCTGATTCCAACAGATAATTTTTGAGTTGTCAGCACTTTAAAAATGAGCCAATTTTTAAAGAAGAGCAAAGGTTTTTTCTGAAAAATGGTTCAGAAGTCACCATAATTATGTTTTTTTTTTGAATTCTGATGCATATTGTGTTTGTGCAATTTTGAAACTGAGGCAGTTTCTAAAAAGTGGTTCCAAAATCACCTCCAATTATTGTGTCTTTGACCTTTTTGTCTGATTTACAAATTTCAACCCTCCAAATGCATTCAGTGCATTGCCACTGCAGTTAGTAACTTAGTACTGATCAATGGTGTACATGTACATGTAACAAGTTCCCTAAGGTCTGGTTTATTATTAATATTATGTTGTAGGGTCTTGTTGGATACTTTGTCATTGGGTTTGAGGTTCCCTCTTATCCTGTGTACTTCAGTACTAGTCCACAAGATACACCCACTCACTGGCATCAGAGGATATTCTTCCTCAATGAACCCATACAAGTTCAAACAGGTGGGTCTGGTTTAAGACTAATGTACTCATTACTGTCTATACTTATTAATTGGATGAAGGACAAGTCAGTGTATCAAATACTGTCTGTCTGTTTGTATGTACATGTACATATACATGTACATCACTCCTAATTATACATGTACATGTACGCTGATTATTATTGTTAATTATTGTTATTATTATTATTATTAGTGATCTATTACGTGGTTGCTATAAGAGCAAGGATTGTTCAAGATCACTTGATATCAAGATACAGATGATGTTATTTCCACTCTCAAAAGAATCCCAAGTACTAGAACACATGTACACTATCATCATGTGTGTTTAGTTTGTCTTCG